TCCTATAATATCCATACATTATCCAGCAAACAGATAACAAGAGTACTCAAACTTATCTGGTAGAAGTTATTTATATTGATCTAACACCAAATTCCTGCATCTAATTTTCAAGGAAATGTGTAACAGCCAAAGGGGAGAATTAACAATCAGATTTTTGAGTCTGCAAAGATATGCATGTCTAGACAATTATTTTAATGACTAAAACTATTAACTCGAGTGGTTCCCTGCTGTAATTTGAAGTATCTGGGTTACTAATTAAAAGCTTTTCTAATTCCATACCTGTGCAGCTGACTGAGCAAGAAAAAAGAATTGCTTTTGGCTCAGAGAAAAACATTATGGTAAGAGGCGTAACATATTAATCAATAATATATAGATTTAGCTAAGCCTATAAAAGCGGAGCTCGCATTTTTTTTTCCCGCATGTCTCAAGGGCACAACACCTTACCCTGGCCAGGACTAGAACCCATGTTGTCCAACTTGGAGCCCAGTGCACAGACCATTGGACTACTGGACAAAGCCGTGGCATTGACATTCCCGCAGTACAGTTGACCGCACATGTTAAAAGTAGCACCTTGTACAGTCGTACGTCCAAATTTTTTCGGCTTGATGGGTTACTACTATTTTGCATAATTATGGGGCTACACTTTGTGAGCTCTGCTAAAAATAAATTCTAAATTCATTTAATTAGTGATTGTTATTAATCAAAGCAGCATTTTTTGACATAATAATCATGCAGGTACTTAAATATCTCAAGTTGTGGTTGATTAAATTACAGTTCAAAGGCAAAAGGAATTTTGTTTTCATTCCTATACTAATACATTTCTTATGAAAACCCTGCAGAAGTGAAAAAAGTTCATTTGAAAATGTTGTTTATTAATCGTATTTTTCCTTGTCAAAGAGAAAACTCTTGCCTATATGATGTTTTGAAAGCCTTAGGGTTTTAAATTAATCTAATTCTTTTTAATTCCATTTGCACAGCTTGTTCTCACTCAAATGGAAAAACATCCGGATAATTTCATCATTCAAGTAGCAGCTGTGTAAGTTATAACATTCACGAAGATTGATAATATTCAATGAGATGTATAATTAAGATAATCATTCAAAATAAAACAATTTTGTTTTTTATGAAAACAAATTTTAAAAACATTTTGATTATTATTTTTAAAACAAAGTTTTGACCCTATTATATAAACGTTACAAGTTACAAACATTTTTGGGATGTTCTTTTGAATTCAGAGCTTGTGTATTTAACAACATCATGGCAAGAGGAGGGGAAGCAAACCCAGAAGTGCATCCTCATTTCTTAAGGTAAAATTATTACTGAATACATGATTAAATGTGTTTAAAACACTCCCAAAGTGGTATTAGAGGGCTGGTGTTGTCAAGCAACAAAACATAGCAATAGTTGTCTTGGCAACCAGGTGGTCACCTTGGTAATCAAGCCACAGCCCACCTTTACGCACCTATCAGCACAACACAAAAAATACCTGTGTGTTAAATGGTTACTTATTAAAAAGTTGGCAGTTGGGAGTGGGGGGGGGGGGGGGGGGGAAGGGGAGAAGTGTAAACCTTCCATGCCCCCCTGCTACATCTCATTGGTTAAACCACTGCCTTAACAACCTGAGGTAGAAAGGTGGTTAATTTTCATTTTTATTATTTGATTAGTTAAAAGTTAATAATTAGTCAGAATCTTTTTAAGTTAACATGCTGTTTGTACATTCAATGTGATTATCTTAAGTTATCTTCTGATTGACTTTTCAGTAAACTTGCATCTTTGGTTCTATCAGCAATGACAATTTTTCCAGAGGAGTATTGTGTAAGAATTTGCTTTATTTTTGATAAATGAATCAAGACAAACAGTAATCTACCATCAAAGACTCTCTATTATGTTTTGATTCTGCTTGATCTTATGACAAAATGACAGAAGAACAATGAAACATCAGAAAGTAATCAGAGTAGAATTAATGTATTCATTGACTGAGCACAAAGAACAGACAGGAAATTCTTACATAGCCTCAATGCCAATATTTTCCAGGTCTGCCTAATCTAACTCAATCACTCAGTGTTTGTCATGAGCACTGCCCTTTTTTCTCCATTTTTTCCATTTTTTTCCTTATGGCGGACTGTATGTTAATTTTGGGGTCAAAACAAGTTGTCACAAAAGCAGTAAGTAGAAATGATTCAAATATTGTAAATTTAATCTCCAGTGCATTGAAGGAATATTGGCTCTAGAATATGGGCTGAAAATTTAGGGCAGTAACTGTCGAGAGATGTATGTCGCCAAATAGAGTAAGAAACCAATAACTTGATTTTTACTTTGCAGACATTCAAATACTTTGAAGCATCATGTTTGGCTATAGATGCTCTGTGCAATTTCCATGGTAACCAGGATATTTGTCAGCGGGCTATAGAGCTATGTGCAAGTCTGTGTGCTAAGGTATTGCAGGACAGTACAAACAAATCCCCCAAAAAATGCAAATTTTGGACAGATTCTTTGCTCAATTGGACACTCAAATATTGGAAAAGCAGGAGAAGCACCCATTATTCAAGATGTTTGCAGGAACTAATTAAAGGGGAAATGCTAATGAAAGTTTGGATAGATGCTAGAATCTGAGCAACTCCACACCTACCCCTCCCCTAACTCAACATGAACCCCTAACTTGTCATCAGTTGACTGTTGTTGGGTTAGGGGAGGGGTAGGTGTGCAGTTGTTCAGATTCTGGCATTGATTCAAACTTTCATTAGCATTTCCCCTTGAATTAGTGCCTGCAAACATCTTGAATAATAAGTGCTCCTCTTGCATGAATAAAAACTTCCACCCCCTTCCCCCCTCTCTCTTTTAATTGTTAAATTACCTTGTTCACTAAATTAGTTAACTCTTTAATTCTCAGAAGTGATTCTCATGTAACTTTCTTCCTATAATATCCTTACATAATCCAGCAAACAGTTAACAAGAATACTCAAACTTATCTGCATGGTAGAAGTTCTTTATCTTGATCCAACACCAAATTCCTACATCTAATTTACAAGGAAAAGTGTAGCAGCCAAAGGGGAGAATTAACAATCAGATCTTTGAGTCTATGAAGACATGCATGTCTGGACGATTATTTTAATTATTAAAACTATTGGTTTAAGTGGTTCCCTGTTGTAATTTGAAGTAAGTATCTGGGTAAAACTAATTGAAGGCTTTTCTAATTCATACCTGTGCAGCTTACTGAGGAAGAAAAACTTGCTCTTGGCTCAGAGAAAAACATTATGGTAAGAGACATAACATATTAATCAATAAAAATCAATTTTAAATTCATTTAGCGATTGTTATTATATCAAAGCAGCATTTTTTGGCATGATAATCAATTATTTAAATATCTCAAGTTGTGGTTGATTAAATGTGTCTTCCAATTATAAACTAGGTCTTTACTAATCATGCAGTTCATTTTAAAAATACAGACCATGTTTAATATTATTCAAGAAAAGATCAGTGCAAGACAGGTATGGATCAGATAGAATTTGCAACACTATAATGAAATGATTTCATAATACAAATGTCATTTTTTTTAATGGAGCAAGCAGATTAAAGAAAGATTAGGTTAGGCCTTGTGCACTCAGGGTCATCACCATTTTGGTTTATTGCTGTATGATATTGTTGCAATGCCTTTGAGCAGAATTTTTTTCAGTTTAAGAGATATGATCATCACAATAAAGGAACACAAAGCTAGCACGTTTTCTAGAAATAGAAAATATGGGAAAGCCAAGACTTGAATTAAGTTAAACATTTTTTTAAGGTTACTTGATCTGACTGTCAATTCAAATTAGCTGCTTTCATAATTATAATTATATTTTCTCATTTTCTTTATCTCAGTTGACTTGTGATAATTTTATCCAAGATTGTTATAACCAATAATTGTCCTTTTAAGAAATTGTTCTCTACCTTTTCATCATCAATAATTATTAATGATATTTTAGATTGCTTTATGCAGTCTTTTTTTTTCTAGGAGGATCTCACATTGAGTAATGCATTTACTGTTCTAGAGAAATTAACTGGTATGCAATGTTTTTTAATGTCACTATGACAAAGGGCTAACACTTTATAGTGGCCAATTTACATTATTAACCCTGTTGGAATAGTAAATTACTACAGTTTCTTTAGAACTTACTCCCTTCACTTGAGCTAAACTCAGTTTTCAGCCTAAGGAGTGACCAGGAGACTGGTTGTCCAAGTAGATAGGATGTTGGCTCATTGCAAGTTACTCACCCACCCCACCCACCTCTGCCATTTCATCTTTTTCTGAGAGTTTTTCCAAGGCATTATGATATTATTATAGAGTTCAGTGCTTTTCCCTAGAATACAATACAATGACCCTTTCCCAAGTTCAGCAAACCAAGAGTTAAAGGCTCTTTCCATGAGCTGTCCAGATAAAAAAATAGTTCTTTCTGACATTTACAGATGAGATACCGAGCACTTGTTCTCTGTTTGTTGAGAAAGGAGGTTTTCAATTGATGGTGCAAGGCCTGAAGGTATACAAGAACATTCTTTTCTAGAAACTGCCAAGTAAATTCAAACAAACTGCCAGGAGGCTGTGTGGCTGAGTGGTTTAAGGGTGCTCAGGACTTGTAATCTGGTCATCCTGGGTTCAATTCCTCTACCCTGCCATTCATTGGATTTGTTCTCAGTCACCCCAAGTTGAACTCCCCAGCTGTGCTGTGTAAATAGCTGATTGGCCTGCCTCCTGGCAGTTGGAATTTCAAGCACTGTATGTTTTATTTCAGTCACTGTAAAGTGCTATTGAATAGCAATAGAAATAGCTCAACATTGTCCACCACACAGTATCAAATAGCAACATGCACACAGCACAACAGAGTTCGAGTGTTTTTAAGTAAATATGTTTAAGGTTTTCACAGCTCCCACACACCCCTCATCAACAAAACTGGGATCAGACAGGATCAGATCATGGATCAGGTCATGGATTACAGATGGGGTCATCAGGATTGCACCACGGATTGAAAAAGAAAAGTTTAGAAAAGTAAAAATCAGATCATTTAAAAAATAATAATACTTAAAATATGAGATCAAAAAACCTAAAATATAGTAATTAAATGAGAAATGTTACATGACAAACTAAAATAAAGTTTGCATAACATAATGGAGCTTAGGCCCCACTGGAAGTTTGTGTCCATGACCCAGTCCAGCCCAATCCAGATTTTGTTGACACTGCCACACACTTACCCAAGTGCTAACCATAGGCATAGTGTTGCCAAATATAGTATGGTTTTACTTCTTAACAGTGCAGTTACAGTCAACAATTTTATGTTTAATCTGATGCATTATTAAATCAACTCTAGGTGTTCAGAGAAGGAAGCCAAGAGAAAAATTTTGGAATCAAAAAGGATCTTCTTATAGAACTGGTAAGCCATTAAGAAAAGCCTATTAAGCACAGGTCTACCACAAGGCTAAACAATCCTGCTCTGAGTTTATCATTGATTCTAAAGTCATTGTGTATATGGTTTCCAGAGATAACATTTAAGTCTTCTGTGATGAACAGTTACAGAAAAGTAGAAATGGGAAGCTAAATATCATGCACCAGGAAAGAAAAGGCAATGACAGAGCATTTAAAAACATTTCATGCCTTTGTTAATCTAACTTTAACTTAGGAACCTAAGCAATCACAAATGAAAACCTCACAACTTTCAGCATGACCACTGAACTCAGGCTGCCAATTTGAATGCCAAAACTTTTGCCATTTGCCAACAATTTTTCATAACAATAAGGCCTCACTTAAAGATTGAGAATCAAAACAGATTGTGGAAATCAGTACAAACAAGTTAGCCCAAAGCAATTGAATTCATTTTGATCCTCATTATTCTGTTTTAGAACATTATTGCTGAGGTCCCAAGTCTGAGGCACTTACTTGTCACAGATGAATTCATGAATCTTATGGGGTAATGTCTTTTTCTGTTTGACAAATGTTTGAAAACAAGTTAGGAATGTTGAGTTTGTTTGCAACAAATTAAAGTGGCTTTGAATTTACACATCAAGTGATTTTTCAAAGCTTTGCAACAAGGTCAAATTCAGCAAGTGAGACTGAAAGGCACATGAAGCTAATTAAAAATTAAGTTAATAAGTGTTTTTGAGAGCATGAGGCAGTTAAAGTAGGGCTGCTATGTTAACATTTTTAATCAAGATATGTTTTAATTAACTTGTGGAAAAGTATTTAGTCCAGAGCATTTAATCAAAATTGTTCTTTGAGGAAACAAATGAAAATGTGTTTGCCATTAATCCAACAATTAACTGATAATTATTATTTGTTAATGGAAAAAAATCAGTCTTAATCCATGGATCTAAAGTAAAGCTTAATTCCTGTCTTCTGTAGGTCTCTCCTGGATGACGGGCTTCTCCAGTTATCCTATTTTTGTGGTGGAATTTTGTCCAATGTTATGCTGGAGTGGTCTGATGATAGAGAGCCAATGTCACACAGCAAACAGCATTTACTTCATAGGCTGGTAGATATTAGCAGTCTTACTTTGGGGCATGGTTGCAAATTAACTAATAGTAGGCTTTGAATACTCTTCTGTAACAAATTCATCTTTGGGTTGACATTTTTTCATTGTTTTTTTTTTCTAAATATGAGGCAAAGCTGAGCAAATTTTATATTGACAGTTACTTTGAAAATCAGAAAATTATACCATCAGTCCCATGTACAAGTAAATCTAGATGTCATATCTAGAAAAGTGAGGAAATTTTGTACATTTTTTTTTCATGGAAACATTTTTAAAATTGTATGAGTCCATTTAAGTGACTTCACTTCTTGAGCAGGGACTAGAATGGAGCAAGTGAAATTAGGGAGATGAGGGTGGGGACATGATCTAAAAACAAGACCTCCAGGTGTAAAATTTTTTTCACTCAAATATCTCAGGTTTAAAAATTTGCCCCCACCCCTCACCTCTCTTAACCCTCAACACCCTAACATCATTATGCATATTCTCCATACTGTTCTCCATAAATTTCTTAAGGTGCTAGAAGGAGAACTTGTTTAACAATCAAGAGCCTCTTTAATTGGTGATCAGTTCCTTTATTCTCATGAGTAATGTGTGATTGAGAGGCAACATTGTAAGGAGAAATTAGATGGTAATCACTTTTGTGACAGCAACAATGTTGAGGTAAAAATGTTGCATTTTTCTCTTTATCAGGAACAAGCTGTGAACCGATGGGAATTTCCTGCAGACCAGTTTGTTAGATATAAGTTTGTATATCTTTTTGCAAGATTATCTTTATCAAGTACTGGTTATTTTTTTATCTTTTCATGAATAGAACACAACAAAATTGTACAAGCCATAGGGCAAGTGCAATTTGTAGTCTTCGAAAAATTTACAAGTGCTTATTTAAACCAAACTGCATGAGAAATCATGTTGTTACCTATTAATGTATGAGAAAAAATAATCACAGAAGGTTCAGTCTGGTGAGAATTCAACAGTGCACATGGTATTTTTAATTTGCACTCATGTGACATGAAAAATGCACCTGTTTTCAGCCAATTAGATGTTCATAATTTTTTTAATGTATATCATAGCAGATCAAAAATTGATTCTTACAGTCTCCTGTGGGAGGCACTAGTTGAAGTTTATGTACAATAAATATTAAAATTGTCACCCTTTTCCCCATTTTCTGTTAGGTCATTCAGATCTTTTGTCCCACTCCTCCAGTGCGCTATGCCTGCTGTGCAGATGTGGGCTTTGTGGGGAATCATAAATGTCTGCACCACTAACAGTAAGCACCTCTTGATCTCAAATTGTTTGAACAGTCCCCTGGCTAATAAACAACTCAGACAGGATGATGCATTTGATTTTTGTAAGGCTGAGCTTAGATAGAAACCTCTATTTGACCCCATTGATGGTGCTGACATAAATCCCAACCCCCCCCCCCCCCCAGTGCAATCCTTTCTGTGCAGGTCAGGCAGGGTACCTTGAAGTTTGCTCAATTGGTCTTGTAATGTATAGCAAGCAAATCTAGCTATGATCATCCTAAAATTCTTGCCTGATTTACACTCAAGATTTAGGAGCTGGTCTTGTTATGCTTAATTGGTAGACAACTGTCACAATTTATTGAATTTGGGACACAAACTTGCACACCTTTCTCATATGAACATGGAAAAGTTTAACCCTTTGACCTACAGTTTCTCCTTACAATATCACACATAAAGGTCATGAGAAGAAAGGAAATGATCAACAACAAAAGAAGTTCTTAATTTTTAAACCAATGCTCCTTGTTAATACATGTCTTGCAAAAGACAAGCTTGAAAACTTTTGGCAAAATTTTTCAAGATATGTAAGTGTGATGCAGTCCTATTATGAAGATTACCTACTCATGGCAATGAAATGATCAAGAGCTGAATTAACAGACAATCAACTCATCACAAATCTAATCTTTTTTTGCAGTGCAACATTATGACCCTCTTCTTTCTGATGTTGAAATCCCAGATATTGTTCAGAGGGTCTTAAAAACATCACACAATGGAGTCAGAGAGCTGGCACAAAAGCTTTTAAATACTGTGGTCAATTTTGAGCCAAGTCAGAAAAAGAGAAAATCTTAACTATTGTGAAGGGACTTTCAATGACAACCTTATAACATTTGACTGGGATTAAGTTTACTTTTTGACGCTTAAAAAGCAATATTATCAATACAATTTTCTCTTCAAATTCCTTTAGCAGATCTTTGTGAAATTTTTACAAGTAGGATTTGTGACAGTGGAATAAATAATTTCAGGATGCTGTTCTTGGTTACAGTTTTGTTTTATTTGTTATATTCAAACCAAGCTTTTAGTCACCTCCTCTGGCCTCGAACATGCCATTTTTTACTTAAAATCAGTAATGTTATGGCCTTAGATTAAATATAAATCATCTCCATTTACACTTTAAGATGGTAGGTTCACAGTTACAAAGGAAGTCTTGATGGCAATTGGAGAATCATAAGTGTTTCACAAATCTCTAGATTCTACTAGATGTGTAACATTCCAGAGAAAAACCATGTGTTCACATTCCAACTCCTTTCAGTTTGGAAGGGGATATCCTAGTTATGGTTGCCACAGTTATAGGATTTTGAAATTCCCCAACATTTCCCTGAAAAAGGCAAAATTTCCCCAACCAGCTAAATTAACAATTTCACAAACTAATCCTGACCTTTAACTTCCACTCACAGCAATCCTCTCCACCCATAACTTTAGGTCAATCATATTCTTGTAGAAATATTTCTTCAGAATTAATGGCCCGTTTTAAGATTCAGAACTACCTCTGTCAGTATCTCGCACATCAAATTAACTTGGGAAGCTTTTTCAGCCTGGTTATGTCTAAAATATTTGAAGTATTTTCATCTTCGGAGGCAGGCTCTGGATTAGGAGGTGGTACTTCACAACCTCGGAATGTTTCAGAGTTGAATAGTTCAGAATCACAAGCAGAGGTTCTTTTTGATTTCCTGGCCATAGTTGGTCCATGTTGACCTTCAGAAATTGTAGGATGTTGAGGAGCTAGGCAGTACTTTCCTAGGTACTGCTGGGTAGCCATGGATAAGTTATTCCACATATAGTCCATGAGGGATCGAGAAATATCATTGTGAAAAGTAACAGCTCTGTGGTGACTGTGGCTTTTGCTTCAACTGGTAATTTGTTGATTTCAACTGCCTTTGATCATCAGTGAGGTATTCGAAGTCTGCTTAACTGAAAACTTCATCAAGAGCTTCATCAACTAACAATGACAAGTAGTTAATGCGTGGTTGAACTGGTATGTTGCTCAGTGATGCAGATCTGTGGAATGGCCATTGTTGGGGGAGAGAGAGCTTACATGGTTCCTGATGATACAAAAGAGGACAAACCATTATCCCTGTTGCTGTGTACACTCAAAAACCTAAATGTACCACAACTGCAGGCAGCAGGGTTTTCATAAAGAAACAAAGAAGCAGAATAGTTGTGTAAAGTGACAGGAAAATATTCTCCACCTCTGAATAAAAATACATTTGAGGTCATTAAAATTAAGTCAGAGAATTCTGCAGATTAGCTGGAAAATTATCATTTCTCTATTGCTCAATGATCTTTCTTGTGAAATTTACTTAGTTTGAAAAGTGTAAAGTGACCACGCCCATAGGATGGGGTACCTGTCCGTTTACAGCTACTCCCCCTTGTCCCCACTCTACTCTACCCTCCAGGCTTCTTGTAGCCATTTTATGAAGTTTTTATTGTTTTCTGGTGTTAATTTATGCAGACTACAAAAAAGAGATTGCAATGGCATGGTCTTTATTGTGGTGGCTTCTACCATGGTGACTGCAAGAGGGGTAACTAACAAAACTTGCAGGGGGAAAACTTAGGACAAATTGAAACAGCACAAGGCTGAGCTCTCAAAAAAATTGAAGGGAGCCCAGTGCTCTGAAGTTGTGAAATCCAGGGTGCCCAGCATATGCTTCTAATGAAAAAAAAAACCTCCTAGTTGCCCAAGAGCAAAAGCAAGGATCCAGGGGGTCACCAGATGCTACAAGAGCCCAGCCCTGCAGCTCCAAAATTGGAAAAAGAAATCGATATTTCTCTCATTGACTGATAGAAAAACTGAAACACATCAATATTGACTATGGTCGACTAGTCGACTAGACAGTAATACATATCGGGTGGCATCTGTCGACTATGTCGATATCGGTCACATTTTGATGTCGACTATCTGTGATCTATCGGTCGACTGTCGACCGACTGTCGACCGATAAACCGATAATCGACCAATAGTCGACCGATAGTCGACCGAGGCCACCTATAGTACACGTGATCCCCCAGCCCTGCAGATCCAAAATTGGAAAAAGAAATTTATTTTCTTTCACTCAATAGAAAAACAAACACATCAAAATGTGGTAAGAACAGCAGTAATGCACTTGGCTCTGCCCTGTGTCAACCATACATTTTATTTTGTCTGTGATCTATTACTAATTATCCACAGCAGTGTGGAATCTATTTTTTTCCCAGACCAAATTTGTAATTCCCCTCACTGTCAACCATACAATTCTTATAATGTTATTTCAGAGAATTTTGTACTGGATCAACTAATTATTTCCAAATTGATATTTTTCTTTATTCTCATTACTTATCTGTTTGATTTTGTATTGATGTTGTAAGGAGAAATTCTGTCTTGGTCACAGTAAAATGGTGTCATTACATGTTGCTAGGCAACACAGAAAAGTTGCAATGTAGCAATCAAAACTGGTGTACTACTCTTTGTCTTTTCCCTGATCATTTTAAGCATTATTGACGACTTTAAAAGTAATCTATGCAATTGAAAACCAGTGCTTTACGTTTTGTGATACTATAAAGATTTAAACGGTGAGCTGTCGTCCTGCTGATAAACTTGAGGTCAACAGAGAAATAGTCGGCTTGATTCGAAAGAACTTACCCAATTCCTCGTCTTCCATACTGGAGATCGAGATGTCTGGAGTTTTGTCTTCCTCATCGTGAACCACTCTATCGAAACTGTTTCCACTCTAAAGTGATCTGATCTTTTTCTTTAATTTCTCTAAACATTCTTTAAGTTCTTTTGCAGAAGTTTCTTCTCCGATCAAACTTTCTTTTCGTGTTTAATTTCAAGATGAAGTCTGCGACAGCCGCCTTGCCTGTTGAGCTGAGTCCTTCCATCTTCCTTTCTTTGAGGACATCTTTGCAGATCTAAGACTTAAACGCAATATATAGTTAAGTTTTGTTGAAAGTTCGATGCCCACCAAATAAAACTGTTTTGGAACCTTCGGTTAACGGTTCGGAAATTCGAAATAAAGTCGATATATATTCGGAGGTGCTCGGATTGCTTCGGAGATTAAACGAGTGGCTACCAAGTTCAATATAAACGCGGAAGTTGTGATTACACTAATGTTCTGATTTTCTGTGTACTTACATCTTTTCTCTCGAAGGAGCTACATGATTGAAGATCAAGGTGCAAGGAAGGAGCGTCAAAGAAATGGAGGAACTTAAACTGCTTTTACTGACATTGATATTTAAAACTTTTATTACAAGTACTTACAAATTCACTAATCTCCAAAATTTAACGATCTAATTCTGTTTACTATTTCATTGGTGCTTTCTTTTATTCTAATGTCATTTGATAGTTCATTCCATTTCTTAGCTGCAAAATATCTCCATGAATTGAGTAGAAGTTACAATTCATAGACCCAACGTTTCGACACTCCTGAGTTACAATTCATAGATGAATTGTATGAATTCTATGAATTGTAACTTCTTCGGTTACATTCATTAAATCTGCAAACGAGTGTAGCTTCAAACTATGTCTGATTGTCCACCTGGTTGCCGTGTGAACTTTAATATATTTAACATATTGTTGGTGTCTGCATGAGATTGTACTTAAATGAACATAAATTACTAAGATTCCTAATTGCCTGAGGTGCTTTGTTCGAGATACTATTATGTATTGCCACTAACATGTCAATATGTCAATAACATTACAATACCCAAAAACAAAAGAAAAGGTGAACCAAGGATAACATTGAACCACAACACATTTTGACAGCTACTGCACTAAATTTTCAGCCAATATCAGTGATATTAATGTTGTTTAGATGTTAGGTTTTAATAAGTTATCGGTGGAATACCTGTAAACTAGCTCTCAAGTTAAGTGTATATCCATGTAAAAATAAAGTACCAGTATGTACCGTATGTATATGTGTAATGAGTTTGAAACAAAGGAAAATAAAATTTGAACCAAGGATAAAATTGCACCACAACATATGTCACCAAATAGAGTTGGGAACCAATAACTTGATTTTTACTTTGCAGACATTCTACTACTTTGAAGCATCATGCTTGGCTATGGATGCTCTGTGCAATTTCCATGGTAACCAGGATATTTGTCAGCCAGCTATAAAGCTATGTGCAAAACTGTGTCTTAACCCTTTCACTCCCAAGATCTCATTAGTAATTCTCCTTACTGTCTGCCATATAGTTCTTGTGATGTTAGTTTGAGGAATCTGGTATTGAATCAACTAATAATCCCCCTATTAAGACTTTTCTTTATTCTCATCACTTGTCTGTTTGATATTGTATTGATATTGTAAGGAGAAATTCTGTCTGGGTCACTCATGGGAGTTAAAGAGTTAAGGTATCATGGTACAGTACACACAAATCCTAAAAAAGTTGCACTTTTAGATAGATTCTTTGCTCAATTTGACACTCAAATATTGGAAAAGCGGGAGAAGCACTCATTATTCAAAATGTGTGCAGTTACTAATTCAAGGGGAAATGCTAATTAAAGTTTGAATCAATGCCAGAATCTGAGCAATTACACAAGTACCCCTCCTCTAACCCAACATTAACTTGTCATCAGTTGGCTGTTGGTGGTTAGGGGAGGGGTAGGTGTGTAATTGCTTAGATACTGCATAATTACTGTCATAAACTTTTAAGCCTACAATAAATATTACAACATTCTCAACCAGATGGTGGTGAGAAGAGCCAAAATGTCACCTAGGGGTTACTTTTGGACTAAATAACAAATTCTCAGAGCTAAAAATATGAGAAATATGGGCCCCAAAGTACAGAGAAGCAATATGTTGAGAAACATTTTAATGATTTCCCCTTTCTGAAATCACTGGTAAAACAAATTTAAATAATTTTCCTGGAGAAACTGCATGATTGAGCATAATCTATCCCACTATGCAGGACCTTTCTGAACATATGAAATAACCTCTAAGACACAGAATTTCTAGCAGTTATAAAAGATTAAGCACCAATGTCTTT